AAAAATAATTAGAATAATAATAATAATGATTGGGGAAAACATAGAAAAGATATTGAATGATGAAGCGGGGAGCTGAATGTCTCTGTACTGACTGACATGCATGGCATTCCCTTTTGAAAAAGCAATGTAATACACTGTAAAGTTATATGTAATCCAATGTAATATAAAGAAGATTATGAGGATAATAAAAATAAAAATAAAAAAAGAAAAAATATATAAAAGTCAATCTCTTTTCTATATACTAGAAATAAACATGTAGAATTTGAAACTAGAAACTTAAAACCATTTATATCATCACCTCCAAAATGCTGACAACCCAATAAGAATCTAATAAAATATATACAAGAATCTAAATTATATAAGAAAAACTACAGGGGCCAAGAGGTGACGTGATGGTTAAAGGTGCTAGATTCCCACATGGCTGACCACGGTTTGAGTCCTGGACCTAGCGGCTTGCTTTCTCAATTTCCCTTTCTCTCTCTCTCTGTCTCTGTCTGGTCAAATAAAAAAATAATGATAGCAAATGGAATTAAATGATAAAAAATAATCCTTTAAAAAGAAGAAATACTACAAAGCTTTGATGAAAGATATCAAAGAACTAAATATAGGAAGAGATAGTCAATGTTTGTGGATTGGAACTCAGTATTGACAAGATGGCAGTTCTTCCTAGTTTGAGCTACAGATCCAACACACTCCTGATGAAAATCTCAGCAAGTTGTTTTGTAGCTGTAGATGAACTGAGTCAAAAGTTTAGGAGAGGCAAAAGACCTAGAAGGGCCAACTTGATACAGAAGGAGAACAAAGTCAGAGTATTGGCACTACCTGCCTTCAAAACTTACCATAAAACTACAGTAATCAAGACAGTGTGATGCTGCCAGAAGAATAAATAAATAGATCGATGTCACAGAATAGAGTCCAAAAATAGATCCATGTAAGTAAAGTCAACTGATCTTTGACAAAGGAGCAAAGGCAATACAATGGCGCAGATAGTTCTTTCAACAAATAGTGATGAACAAATAGACATTCACATTCGCCCCCACCAAAATAAAAAAAAGAAGAAGACTCTAGACACAGACCTTACATTTTTCTCAAAAATTAATAAAAAATGTATCAAAGACCTAAATGTAAAATACCAAACCATAAAACTCCTAGAAGATAACAGAGGAAAACCCAGACAACCTTGGATATGGCGATGACTTTTTCGATACAACACCAAAGGCACAAAACATAACAGAAACTGATCAACTGACTTCATTAAAATTAGAAACATCTGTTCTGCAAAAGACAATGTCAGAAAAATGAGAAAATAAGACATAGAAGGAGAAAATATTTGAAAAAGATACATCTGATAAAGGACTGTTACCCAAAATATACAGAGAAATCTTAAAATTCAACAATAAGAAAATGAACAACTGTGTTTTTAAAATGGGCAAAAGACCTTAACAGATACCTCATCAAAGAATATATAAAGTGGCAAGTAAGCACATGAAAAGATGTTCAACATTAAGTCATTAGGGAATTGCAAATTAAAACAATGAGATACCACTAAACACCTATCAAATGGCCAAAAATCCAAAACGCTGACAACACCAAATCCTGACAAAGATATGGAGCAAAAGAAACTTTGGGGACCGGCAGGTGGCATGGTGGTTAAGGGTGCTGGACTCCCACATGGCTGACCATGGTTTGAGTCCCAGACCTGACAGCTTGCTTTCTCACTTTCTCTCTCTCTCTCTCACACTCTCTCTCTCACTCTGTTCCTCTCTGGTCAAATTAAAATAAATAAATACATAAATAAAATAAATAAAGTTCAATAAAATAATTCTTTTTATAAAAAGGAACTTTCATTTATTCCTGGTGGGAAAACAAAATTGTACAACCACTTTAGAAGACGGTTTGGCAGCTTCTTATGAAACTAAACATACTCTTACCATACAATCCAGGAATCATGCTCCTTGGTATTTATCCAACTAAAATGAAAACTTAGGTCCATACAAAAACCTGCACACAACAGGACCAGCAGTTGGCATAAGGGCTATGATGCTGGACTCCCATGTAGTCAACCTCAGTTCGAGTCCCGGACCCGGTGGCTTAAACTCACGCCAGGCACGTGTGAATACATGCCCAAGATCCTGAGAGGAGACTGGAGGAGAAGGGATTGCAGCATGGTTGGAGGCAGCTAGTAGCATTTAGTGGGCAGAGGCCAGTGATACTAAACATCTTCCAATGCATGGGACAGCTTCACACAAGAATTTTCCCATATCCCACAAGATTTCTGAATATCCCTGCATAATTATTTATAATCATTCGAGTCTAGAACCTCTTTGTTTTGCATATAATTATAAAGTATTACTAGTTCTGGAACAGTTGTGATAGATGAATTCTTCAGCAAATCAACTATTATGTAATCAAAGGAAGATTGCACTTTGGTTTGTTCATAATATTAGGTGAACAAAAAGGTGTTCACTTTCTGGGAAATCAAATCCAGAAAGCAACACTACTCATGGGATTTGAGCTCCAATGCCTTGCCCTGCAGCAGTCTGCCTATCCACAGGAGATTGGAGACTCCATTTAACATATGTGGGATCAAATGAATGAAGACAACGGAAGTACAGAATTCAACTGAATTTTATGAACAGAGTGATTGAATGATTCCATAATATTTACATCTAATTATTCTAGATAGGATAGCAAGGATGATGAGAAACTTGTAGAAAAAAAGAACATAATTATGTATTATTGTTTGTGTTTCCCATGGTTTTTCACTCACACTCTCACTGTCTCAGAAGTCTACACACTGTCTCTTCATAGCTTCTTGTAGTACCATTTCATTTTCCATCCATACTCTAGACCCTGTCACGTGTCAAAGGATATGGTCTCCATGGTCATAGTTTAACATGCTATTGGCTTCCCCAGAAAGCCCATGTAATAGCCATTGAAGCAGTATCTTTTTTAGAGATATTTTTGCTCTAGGGAGTGTGCACTCACCAGAGAGACAGACAGAAAGCAAGAAATCACCCCTGGGTAGAGGTGGGCGGATGGCCACACCGCAATCCCTTCTCTTCCATTCTCCTCTCAGAATCTTAGGCACACATGCACACATGCCTGATGTGAGTTTTAAGCCATCGGGTCTGGGACTTGAACCACAGTCGACTACGTGGGAGTCCAGCGACATAATCATTATGCCATTTGCTGGTCCCAAGGCAATATCTTAAATATCCAAAAAGGTATTTTAAATTTGCTGAAGATGAGCTGGCAAGTGGCCCGGTGGTCGGGGCACTGGGCTCCTACATGACCAACTATGGTTTGAGTCCTGGTCCTGGCAGCTTACTTTCTAGTTTTCTCTCTCTCTCTTTCTCTCTCTCTCTCTCTGTCTTTTTCTGGTCACATTTTTAAAATAATAATAATAAATAATTTTTTAATTGCATAAGGTAACAATATACTTTAAAAAACAGATATACGGGAACCAGCAGTTAGTGTAATGGCTATGTCGCTGGACTCCCACGTAGTCGACCGCGGTTCGTGTCCCGGACCCGGTGGCTTAAAACTCACGCCGGGCGCGTGTGCGTGTGTGCCCAAGATCCTGAGAAGAGAATAAAGGAGAAGGGATTGCGGCGTGACCATCCCCCCTGAGGGGTGATTTCTCGCTTTCTGTCTCTATGTCTCTCTCTGTCTGGCGAGCGCACGCACCCTACAGTGAAAATCTCTCCAAAAAAACAAAAAACAAAAAAACAAAAAAAAAAAACAGATATACAACAGTCTCTTATCTTTTTTTTCCTACAGTAGAGGTTTAAGAGTTGATGATACCTAGTTTATATAATGCCACAAAAACTGATCATGGTTCATTGATATGCAGCTTCCTGAAGCTACAGAAGTAAGATGCAGGTCTTCCTAGTCAGGTACTATCCCTTTTACCCAAATTGAAATAAGTAGGCCTTCTAGGCCTTCTGGAGGAGGAAAATGTCAGTCCACTAACCATCCTTCTCATTCCAAAAGTTTAGGAAGTTAGTCCCTTCATTTTAAACAAAGATAACCTGGGTATATAAATCTCTATGTCTTTAACACACTGCATATAAATTCAATGAATTAGACCTGTCATAAGCCACTACTGCTGTTAGCGTAACACCATCGTGAGTGCTGTGGGTCACACAAAGAAAACAGACAATGACCTTGTTTGCCCTTAATCATCCTAAATCCCTTTGGCTCTCTGATATTTGAAGCCAGAATGATATAGTGCTTTTCTGCTAACCCTTTAGGAAACTTTAGAAACACAAATTGGATTATGCCTCAAGCATCAGGAGAGGGGCATTCATGGAAAACATGAAGCAGCTACCCTTGGTGGTATTAGTCTGTCTCTCTCTGAGAATCAGTACATACCAAGCTGTGAGGTAATTTCTCCTATGGTTTTTAAACATAATTTTTAGTCTCAAACAGTGAACAAGTGAGTCAATCTGAGCTGAATTGGAAGCATTAATAATGTCAGGTTTTGGGCCAGCCAGATGGCATGGTGGTTTTAAAGTAGCTGGATCCCATATGGCTGACTGTGCGGTTCAAGTTCTAGACCTTGTAGCATGAAAACCACGCTAGGAAGGTGTATATGGGTGCCCAAAATCCCAAGAGAAGAATGGAGGGGAAGGGAATGTGGCACGGTCATTCCCCCTCTGGAATGTTCTCACTCTCTCTCTCTCCAGCAAGCACATGTGCCCTATAGCGAACTAAAATAATGATAATGATAATGTCAGCTTTTACAGATGGAACTCTGAAAGGGATCCTTTTCAGAAAGCCTATTACAAAGGAGGTTTTTGGGGGGGCCATCAAGTGGCGTGGTGGTTGGGAATGCTGGACTCCCACATAGCCGACCACAGTTCGAGTCCCAGACTTGTCAGTTTCTTCGCTCTCTCTCTCTCTCTCTCCCCCTCTATGGTCAAATTTAAATAAATAAATAAATAAAATTTAAATAAAAGGAATTTTTCTGAATAAAAAGAAAATTCACATCTTACCTCCTACCAACAAGTAGCTGTTGGGAAACAGTGTTTTTGCTTGCATAAGTGCCCTTGCATGACCTGAGTGGAAGAGGTCAAATATTCCATCTGCATAGACTCTGACAGGCCTGTCAACTGTGGGAGAAAGAAAATACTGTTAACAAAATTGCAGAATCAAGAATCACAGTTGCCTTCCATCAGTATAATGCCATATGCAAGTTTACCTGGGTAAGACGCAATCTCTATGTGTGATCAGTTCCATATTTGTGCCTGAAACTGATTTTAAAAAGAGGGTCTTCTGGGGCCAGCAGATGGCATAGAGGGTTACATCGCTGGACTCCCACATGGTCATCTTTGGTTTGAGTCCCAGATTCAGTGGCTTGAAAATCATACCAGGTGTGTTTGTGTGCATGTGCAAGATCTCAGGAGAAGAATGGAGAAAGGGTTAAGGTATTACCATCCCCCCAGGGGGTGATCTCTCACTTCCCTCTCACTGTCTCTGTCTCTCTCTCTGGCAAGATCACAAACCCTAAGGCAAAGACCTCTTACAAAAGAAGGTGTCGGTCTTCTGACAACATTAAAGCAGAGCAATAACATAACAAAATTAAAATTGAACCAGAACACACATTGTTGGCCAATAGGAGAGACAAACAGAGAGCAGTAGGGAGTTCTCTTGACCTAAAGTGGATTCTAGATGTCTGAGCCAGCAGAGTCAGCCCAGCAGGAACATCAAAGCAGGAAGAGTTAAGGAACTCAAAGGAAAAGACAAATGACTTCATCCTTCAGCCTGGCAGTCCTGAAGGAAGACCCCAAATCCTGTTTCCAAAAGCAGAGATGTGCTAGAGTCCACTCAGACTGCTCAGTGCATCTTTCTTCCCAACTCCAAGTCATGTTGGTAGCCTGAAGTCAGCTATGGTAGGGGTGTTTATACCACAGGAATTGGCAAATGCCTCAAATCAGGACTTGTCTCTCCCCGGAGGGCCAGTTGTTACTTACTAGCATACAAACTACACAAGGTCACTCCCCAACCTCCTTGATATGTCTGCCCTGAAGGGAAGAGAGTCAGAGTATCAACATTGTACATAGGGGTGGTACTCAGCAGGTGGAGGTGAACAGCTATCATTACAGTCCTTCGTAGGGAAAAAGGTAAAAAGTTGAGGTGCAACTGATGCTCTCACAGTGGCATACGGTAGTACTCTTGGAATTGCTTGCCAATGAGGAAGAGGGACACAGGTCACCATAGCCCCCTGAGAAACAGTAGACTGTGGTAGAAACTGCACCATGACACTATTGCTGAACCAGACCAGGACCCAATCCCTTCGAGTCAGAGGGGGAAACTGTGGGATCAGGTTCCATCCATTTGGTGGACATAACAAACCACGAAATTACTCTTTCGAGCTGGTTGCTTCTCTATTACACCACCACCCTCATAGCCTGAAAAATGCCTGTTACACTTGTCGAAAATTCTACATATTTTGCCAACTTTTACACTTTTCTGAACTTTCAATAAAGAAACTAGAAAGTGAAAAAAAAATCCAAGAACAAGACCAAAAATAGATGTCAGGAGAAATAAGTACTTTCCTTTGAAGTGCCCCTGTCACTTCATTTCCATGGCCATAAACAACACAGAAACATTTTATTCCTGCATTGAGAAGAAGGAAGGAGACATATATGGCCATAACAGTGCTCTTTAAAAAGCAATATTAGGGAGGAGGGCAGAAAGTGGTGTAGTGATTAAGGCACTGGACTCTTATATACCTGACCATAGTTCAAGCCCTGGACCCGGTGGCTTGAAAATCATACCAAGCCTGTGTGTGTGCATGCCCAAAATTCCAAGTGGAGATTGGAGGAGAAGGGATTGTGGCATTGCCATCCCCTCTGGGGGAGAGGATGGTGATTTCTCACTTTCTGTCTTTGTCTCTCTTTGTATCTCTCTGGTGAGTACACACACTCTATGACAAAAAATCTAATAAAGAAAAAAGAAAAGAAATATGAAGGGCCGGCCCTATAGCCTAGTTGTTGGGGGAATCAGATTCCATATGGCAGACCCCTACTCAAGGGCCAGTCCCAGTTTGGGTCCCGGCCTTGGTAGCTTGAGTAACATGCTAGGCATATGTGTCCATACCCCAAATCCCAATGGGACAAAGAAACAGCCTGAGCTGTGATCATGCCCCATGCCCCATGGGGAGTACTTTCTCTTCTCCCTCTCTCTGTTTCTCTGTCCCTGGCAAATGCACACACCCTCTGGCAGGTATTTTTTTTTTTAAAGTAATATGAGGACTATCCATTAAATATGGTGAACTGAACACACACATTGATATCTACTTCTTCCTAAAACATCACAAAATATTACTGAGAGGTAAAAAGGTATAATTCCCTCAAGGGCAGAGAAAGCAAGCAGGGCAACGACAATAGATGAGCAATGCCAACAACCTTTTGAAAAGTTCATTGTTGAATGCTGATACCTAAGGGGAATTAAATCAGGAGTGGGCCAGGT